TATATTTTGTACACAAGAAATGAATCAAATCGCATCAGAGCCATTGGTGCAACTTTATATTATTATCGATAATTAGTTGTTTTAAGTAGGTAGCTAAATTATCAGTATTTTAATTTTTTTTGTTAAATGTGATAAAATTTTGTTCATCTAAAATTAAATTTTGTATTTAAAAGAATATACCTAGTATACTATTTCTTTAATAGTTAGATATTTCCTATTCCTCGTAATAATTAGTGAACATTAAATAAAATCAAGATACCTTATGATTTTAAAATTATAATTAAATGTACAAACATTGTAATTCTAAAAAAAGAGGGGGAAATATATGCAACTACAGTCTTCTTATTTTCTTAACGACTTACAGTTAGCCTTGGTTGTCCTCCAACTGGTCTAAAGAAAAAAAATCCCTCGGATTCGAGCAACATCAATATCGAAGACAAATATCTTAATAGTTAAAAATATGTATAGGTAGGTTGTGGATTGTAAAATTATTCACCCATGATTGTATTTTTTTGTGGAAACAATAAAGTAACAAAGTAAGTGTACCGATACCGTACACTTAACGAAAAAAAACCTCGATCATTAATTACTTTTGAATACTTTTCTGGTGATAACATGGAAGTATTTTTTTGATCTTCTATTAATGGCAAATCCATGTGCCAAGTTTGATACAGTGTAAAAAGTTATAAATATAATAATACATTTTCTTAAAATTTCGTAATGAGGGAAGGGAGAAACACAAGTCTCCCAAGTATATTTTATTAGTTTTCGATGCCATCGACACGTCATCCTACATATTATATTCATATTTATTATCGATTCGTTGTCGATTACGAATTTAACTAGGTGACTACTGACTGGCTTTTTTGATGTTTTGATATAATATTAAATGTGGTATATTATTTTAAAACATTTATAACATGAAATTAAATTGTCTTCTTTACGCGCCGTGTAAAGCTTAATTTCGATTTGGTAAAAGCACAGTAAGAGTATTGTTTCCCATATAACTACAGTATTTATTATTTCAAATATTTGGCAAAATTGTGAAGAGGCCATACTAATCCCTCACCTATAGATGACCATTGTATTCATTTTTCCGTCCGCTTTATATAAATATTCATATTAATATTTGTTCAGGTTTTTAAAGTTTTTACATTTAAAGAATAAACAACCCAGATAACAATAATTWAATGACTTACTAAACTGATATGAGGAACTGTATTGACTATTTGATTATTTTAGTAATTTAATAAAATATTGATAAATGTACCTACAAGTTACTACCTCCTTGTAAGTTTTTTCTTCTAAATTACCGACATCTTTGCTCCAACCCTATTCCTAGACAGGTGTTTTAATAAATTATAATTTACTATAATAATACTCAATACATGTATTGTAATATCGTATTCGTATATGCCATATGTACCAATGCTATAATGTGATATATGTCTGGTATGGTCTTCGCGTACGCGTCGTCGACAGGACAAGCAGCAGGATAGGTAATTTTCGTGCGTCGTATTAAACGTGTACAATGCACATACTTAGTGATGTACATTAAACTAGTAGATATAGGTACATCCACTGGTAGTTTACGCGTTTCTCTTCGAACACGTCCTGGCGGACTAAAATCCCCATTGTCCGGCCCACGGTATAAGGTTAAATTAAAAATAAGATTACAACTATGAAAATATGTACATCGTTATACTTGTGGTGTAGATACTGAGAATAGAGATTATGATGCGTAGGTGTTATTAGTCATAATAGACGAGCACGTKCAGTGTAGGTATGTATAATAATAATATACATCGCAATAATACGTCATAGGTACTATAGAATACAAAATGAACTTCAAACTTGGATTGGCCTATGTGTAACAAGTTTACAAGTGTATATAGTTATAACAATTATCATCATTTTACTTTAAAGATTAWTTATGAGTTTTTATAGAACAGGGTGGTGTAYTAGTCTAACCCACGGCCCTTCTTAAAATACATGTATTCAATCATTTTTATCGTATAAGAGTTATAATTTTTTTTTTTAAATGGTAGGAGATTGCGTGGTGGCAGTATATATTAATCTGTTATATCTAATTTTCTATAATATTAAGTTTGTTTTTAAAATAAAACACGAATAAAAATATATTTTTCTTTTGGTGACTCTGAAAGTGCTTAATATGTAAGTTRGCTCACCAATTACAACATTTTAGACCACCCTGTAATAGATAATGATGACGTTAAAAAGTTTGAATAGAATTTTATCATCTTGTTTATAAAATAACATTGACTGTCACTCAGGGCCGATTTTAAGTGGGGGACACCGGTGGGCAATTGCCCGGGGGTGGCAAAATTATCTCAGATAAAATAAATAAAAAATCATTTATTTTTTATTTGTAAAGARGAAGATTTCTAAAAAATGATACATTTTATTATTATTTATTTTTTAAATTCACATATGCATACATTTTTTTTTACCTATATTTTATCATTTTAAATAAAGAAAAATAAACGTTATTAACTAAGTAGGTAGGTACCTAATGTTATTAAATATTAGTGGGTTTATTTTTACTAGTAAACACTAAAACTAGACGTATAGTATAACTGCGTTGGCCCGTATTGGCAAATCAGGATTGTCGATTGTGGGAATTATCAAAATAAAACTATTTTTTAAGTAATATGTAAAATGTTTAAATGTAGATAATAATAATTTTGTGTTTCAGAGGTTAAAGTGGGAAAAAATTCCAGAGGGAACTAATGTTTCCAAAAAGTTTTAAGCGTTCCATATTTAAATATATACATATTTTATGTATAATGTCTAATGTATAAAATCCTAAGTTGTTAAAGGGGACGCTTTTTAACCGCCGTCAGAGGTAAGGGGACTGAGTCCTCCTGCGAC